GCGATAAATTATGGACTGGACATAAAATAACATACGATAAGTATTCCTACTGTAGTTATGTGTGCTGAAACACCATGCATTTTCTCTTTACTAACTGCTATATACAAGGGTAATTAAAAAAATTATCCGCACTTTCACCAAAACATATCTTTATGTTTATCACACTGCCTTCTGCTCTTGCCCTTGTACTATTTTCGTCACGGGATCGAAGTTTCACTTTTGATCGCGCCACCTTTCTTGCTGCTGTTACAGTGTAAACTTGGACGCTCCGCTAGCAGTGTTCACCAAGGAGGAACAAAGAGCAATGATCCGAATCTACAGGAACATACTACCCCCATCGATGAAAAAAACTCGCTGTGTCACCATTGCCATCTCTCGACTTACTGAATTTGTTCGTCAGTGTTGAATGTTGACGGACATCCTGCTTCGAGCGTCACGGTTTTAAACTTCCCGATCTATTCATACACACTTCTAAGCGGTAGTGCACTGTCGCTGTATTGTGTTAAAAGCCCCCGAGGAATTTTAGCTCTTGACACACATTTCCGACCAGAGAAATCGGATCTGAGTAAATTTTGTCCTTTGCTATCTCTCCTAAACTTTCCCACAATTACAACAAGTAGATGACACAGTAGTAATTGCAGACACGGAAAAGAAATTACAAAATCTCCTAAAGAAGGTAGCAACAGAGAGTGAGAAGAAGGGACTAAGCATAAACTACAAGAAGACACAATGCATGCTCATCAGTAAAAGGATGAGCCCGAAATGGGATTTGCAAGCCGGGGACACTAAAACCAAACAGACGCGGAAGTTTAAATATCTGAGAAGGGTCTTGACAGCAGACGGTAAGTGTGACACTGAGATCCGTAGACGTAATGGGATGAGCAAGGACCCATTCCAAAAACTGGGCAGAATATTGCGAGACAGGTGGATTTCTTTGGTAACAAAGGAAAGCGTACTGAGCTGTTATGTGACATCTGTCCTCCTTTACGCCAGCGAATGCTGGACGGTCTCCTCAAAGATGAAGAAGAGACTCGAGGCGACGGAGATGGGGTTCTACAGAAGAATGCTGAGGATATCCTGGACCGTGTGAGCAACAATGAGGTCTTGGAGAGGATGCAGAGGAGGAGGAGGCTTATACTTATAAACATCAGGAAGGGGCAGCTGAAGTTTCTGGAACACGTAATAAGGAAGGAGGGCCTGGAGAATCTAATACTCACAGGTCGAGTAGAAGGAAAGAGAGACAATGGAAAACAACGCATGACATACCTAGCAGGCTTAAGAAAGTGGATGACAGAAAGTAATCTGAGGGAAATGACAGAGGGACAGAACTTGTTGAGAGCTGAAATGGATAGAGTGAGAAGCCAAAGTCGCTTACGCACTGAAAAGACAAGGCACATAGAAAGAAAGAAATATTCTTGTTTTATATTCTTGTTAAATATTGTTGGAAATATTCTTGTGAAATATTCTTGATTTATATCCTTGCAGAATATTCTTGGTAAATATTTTTGTTAAATATTTTAAATAAATGTTCTTATTAAATATTCCAGCAGGATATTCTTGTTAAATATTCTTGGTAAATATTCCTGCAAAATATTCTTGATAAATATTCTTAATAAATATTCCTGAAAAATATTTTTTTTAAATCTTCTTGGTAAACATTCCTGCAGAATATTCTTACTAAATATTCTTGGTAAATATTCAGCAGGAATATTCTTGTTAAATATTCTTGTTAAATATTACTGCAGAATATTCTTGTTAAACATTCTTGCAGAAGATTATTGTTAAATATTCCTTCACAATATTCTTGCAGAATATTCTTGTTAAATATTCCTGCAGAATATTCTTGTTAAATATTCCTGCAGAATATTCTTGCAGAATAGTCTTGTTAAATATTCCTACAGAGTTTCTTGTTAAATATTCCTGCAGAATATTCTTGTTAAATATTCATGCAGAATATCCTTCTTAAATATTCCTGAAGAATATTCTTGTTAAATATTCTTGTTAAATATTCCCACAGAATATTCTTGTTAAATATTCCTACAGAATATTTTTGTTATATATTCTTGGCAAATATTCTCATAATAGATAGTATCCAGCCTAGAAGTACTACTTGTAATACAATTCGCAAAAATCTAAATTTTATCTAAAAACTTTCATTAATTTTGCGTGTAATGTAACGGCTATCGATGAGATGTATTCAAATTCCAGCCTCAGCATTTGCATTCACTTTTGCACAAATTCCCTTAGGAAAAGTATGAACGATTCTCCTTCTCGTCTCCTATTTGAATGTATTAATTACTACGATAGAGAGAACACTCTATGAGCAAACAGTTTGAGAGAAGAGCAACTCTGAAATCCAAACCGTGCAGACGACAATGGAAAGCCAAAAACTGACCAGAAATGCATAATATTTCACAAATAATGAATGAGAAGGAATTTTTGCAGTGTCATGAATGTTTACGTCTTGAAAGAATACAATATTCCTCTCCTCAAAAAAGAATTGTCTTAAAACACTTTTTTTTTAAAATTAGCCATAAAACTTTCTTCTTTATAAATAAATGCGAACGTCAGTGCGTTAGTGGGTCACAATTTTACTCCTAGAGACCGGAGCCCAGAATATCATAAGATTGTGGAATCAGGCCGACTTCGTGAGCAAATTAAAAACATTCAGGGCTGGATTCGTACCAGTAATTCTGAAATTTTCGATTCCCAACTTTTCATTACCGCGATTGTTTTTACGTGATTTCTTGCAACGATTTTTTTTTTTACGATAACAATTTTTATAACTTGGAAATAAATTTAGAAATAATTGTAATTAATTGCGAAATCCAGCGAAAGTGAGATAAAAAGTAATTGCTTGTACGGAAAGTAAGGGCCTACGTACATGAAGTTGTCTTTAAATTAAGCGGCAACAGAAGAAATATCGTTGAACTTTTAAAAGGTAAGCTTAAATATCAATGCAATACTTAAATGCAGAGATCAGATTTGAGTAGTTTATTGTTGTCTATCGCATACGGCAGCAGTATGCCTCACAAAAAGAAATCTCCGCCAACAGAGGAAAAGATTGCAATCAAAAGAGCCAAGGCTGTAGCGAGGAAAAGAAAGTGCCGTGCAAATGAAAAACTCAGATCAGCAGCCAGGAGAGCTTCCAATGCTGATAATAGGCAAAGACCAAGGGACTCTCAATCTTCTGACTAAGCCGATGGCCTCATCAAGAAACTTTCACTGGAGCTAGCTAATTTCCGGTCAATAGGACAGCTTTTTAATTAGTTATAAAATATATTTATGTTTAATGAAATTTTGATCTATCTGTACCCAAGATGTTAACCACATTATTAAGAAAAAAATATTATTTTTATGCAGTTATACAGGCAGTATATGAATGAGGAATCAATCAGTCTCCGGGGATTAGGTTGTTGTGCTCTGAATGATGTTTCAGGCGTGGCGTACTTTGTGTCTTGATCAGCCTATTCGAGAATGGCAGTCACTCATACATTTTGTGCAGACGAAGTTTGATGCAGATTTGTCTGACAAACGTGCGGCCTTCTTTCTCTACCGTTTCGTTCTCGTCACTGTTATTTCCCGCATCTTTAGAGCACAAAAAGTATGCATGTATGTGTGTATGTATGTATTAATGAGATTTCTCGTGACCGAGCGATTAGAACGTTCCCATTCTGACCATGAGACCCGGGTTCGAATCTCTCCATCGTCGATTTGTAAGGAAGGAGTGGAGGGGTCGATCCCAGCGTGCAGCAAGACATCTGGAGAAGACGATCCCAGCGTGTAGCAAGACACCTGGAGGGGTCGATCCCAACGTGCAGCAAGACATCTGGAGGGGTTGATCCCAGCGTGCAGCAATACATCTGGAGGAGACGATCCCAGCATGTAGCAAGACACCTGGATGGGTCGATCCCAACGTGCAGCAAGACATCTGGATGGGTCTATCCCAGCGTGCAGCAAGACATCTGGAGGAGACGATCCCAGCATGTAGCAAGACACCTGAAGGGGTCGATCCCAACGTGCAGCAAAACATCTTTGGAAAGTGCCTGAAAACCGTACCCCGGATGGACCCAAGACTTGTGAGTGAAAATGGGTAGACGGATCCCTTGGGGAAGGTCGATATCTGTGTCATCGTTGCCAACTGGCCTTGTTCGTATTGTTGATCACGCTAGATAACACGCTCTCTCCCTGAAACTTAACTAAGGTCTGCTCAGCATAGTTGCAGTATAAACCAGAGCTGGGCTTTGTGTGTGTGTGTTGGATGCGCTTGAGCAAGCGTCTGGAATGGGGATTGGCTAGCCAATCCTCGAATACGAGTGGCCAGCTATACATGTATGTATTAGGATTCAAACGTCACATGGTTATACACAGGGACAACATACGTAACACAGACAATCTTTATGTTTGCCACGTGTGTAAGAGAGGTTGTAAAAATTGAAACTGGTTTTAAGAATCACTTACGGGCCCAAAGTAGAGCGTTAGCTCGGGTAAAAATTATGAAATTAATAAAACTCTAAAAGTAAAGCACAAAGAAGCTACCAAGTGAAGAGATGATCTTCTTCTGCAAAGAAGTGACCATCATCATCATCATATATATATATATATATATATATATATATATATATATATATATATATATATATATATATATAGCAAATATGTGGATATAGATCCGACAGTATGAAGAAAAATATACTGAAAGAACAAACAAAAATCCTAATATGCGATTATGCTGTTTTAATGTTTAATGTCAACGTCGGACGTTTCAAAAGATTTCAGTTATCTGTTTTTTTTATTGGTATTGCTTTTATGTCCATCGTCTTTTTCATGTTGAATTGTATATGGTCTATGTTAATTATGTTTTATGAATATGTCCTGAAGATGGTCTGTTAGACCGAAACGTCCAACGTTGACATTAAACATTAAAACAGCATAATCGCATATTAGGATTTTTGTTTGTTTTTCAATATATTTTTCTTCATATATATATATATGTATGCTTACGACCATATCACGTGGTAACCAACGGTTCCCGTACGATCACAGAAGTTAAGCAATGCCGAGTCTGATCAGTATCTAGATGAGTGATCGTTTGGGAATATTCGATGCTGTAAGCTTGGATTTTCTGTTGGTGTAATGAATAAAAGCCCGGATTTAATAATCAGTGAACCGAGTTTCATTTCCCATTGGGTTCGTTATATTGACTTCCTCACAAATACCCTTGTCAAAGGAATGAATCCCCCTATTCTCCCCGTACCCAGCTATCGTTTAATTATTAAAACTTGACTCACGAAACCATTACTATCTCCCCAGCAAAACTTCTTATAATCCAAAATTATTTTCTGCCCTTAAATAAACAGCAATGGCTTTATAAGCCGTAAAAAACGAATCAATCTCTCTCTCTACACACACACATATATATATATATATAGAGAGAGAGAGAGAAAGAAAGCAAGGGATTAATTTTTTATTTATTAATCCAACAGATTTAGCGAATACTCGTATTTGAGTAGACACGCCTTTTATTCATTAATAAGAGTTTTTTATTTATATCTGCCAGCCTGAATATTCGAGAAATCTTATTCGAGAAAAATATGCTCTCACTGGCAGGATTCGAACCTGCATTCTCCCTAGGAAAACACCGTAGTTCGAACTGTGTTTAGAACTATCGGCTACGGAGTGATTTGATAGTCAAGCGCAGTTGAATAGTGCCTTTAAACATAGATTTTTCTCTAGCTCACAAAATCGACATATCTGCTGTGTTTCGTAATCTAACGCATACCAAGTAATTTCTGAAGAAAGGCATTTTTATTAATTACTCCGATAGATTTTATTATTTAAACGTCATTTTTAGTAAATGCTCGTATTTGAGTAAACGCTCTGTTTATTTATTAAACTGGTTATTTATTTATTTGTGTCTACTGACCTGAATGTTCGAGAAATCTTATCAGAGAAAAATATTCTCTCTACCACAGGATTCTAAAGGTGCCGCATGCTGGGAAAGCTTCCTCAGGCCAATAACATCTAACATCAAGAAGCTACCTGCCGTATAAATCGACCATAGTGAGATTCGAACACTGATCTCTCCGGAAAGTAAACGTTCGAACCACTATAAAGAATATATATATATATATATATATATATATATATATATATATATATATATATATATGGTTTTTGTTTTGGCATCCGTCCGTCTCGGGAGATGATGGAGTAGCGCAGTGCGCCACGAGCTTCGGCGGGATGTATGGAGAACTAGGGCTGCTCGGACGTGTAGTTCTCCCTCTCGGCCTTGTTAGCAGAGTCCAAAAGAGAGTACAAACCAATACAGTTTGGTACCAACGCGGCTGCATGAGTTGCCGGAAGGTAGCACAAAGTACCGTCCATCCGCCTTAGGAGCTTCACTCCGGATTTGTGTACGGTTTACTCCTTGGCCTTTCCTTCTCTGGAAGATTTCCACAAAGCAGTGGAGCTATTTAACCCATAGCTGGGGTTCGGTTCATGTCCACACACCGATGGGCCTGCATGCCGCATGTTAACTCCTCCCACGTCCCCTGTAGTTTAGCCCGAGTCCGCAAGGTGTTCGGTTGCCTACTGGGACTAGGCTGGCCTTTTCGCATTCCTACTAGCCAGCGGCGGTAACTGAAAGCGAGGAGCGCCAAGCACTACCACTACAGAATACAACATAAGACGCAACAAAACAGCCGTTGAGACACACACACACACACATATATATATATATAATTTTTTTTAATTTACAACGTTTTAATTGTTTTATATATATATATATATATATATATATATATATATATATATAAAAGAACTAAAAATTGCAAATTAAAAAAAAATAATGTTTTTATGAAAGTATTTATTTATATTTGATATTTCAGATCGACCTCGATCTTTCTTCAGAAATATATATATATATATATATATATATATATATATATATATATATATATATATTAAAATCAGGAGGTCAATTAAATCTGCTACTTTGGTTTCAACTTTACGGTATCCTCAGGCGATTTTTATCAAATGACCTCTTAACGCTTTATTTCTTTTTTTAAATTGATGAAAAGCTATATTGTTAAATTCCAAAATAAATAAAGAAACGCACGACGTTGGGTGTAATAGAAAGAAGAAGAAGAAGAAGAACAACAACAACAACAATAATAATAATAATAATAATAATAATAATTAGTTTATTGTAAATGTATCGGTGAGAGGATTAATTGAATATACATTAAAATTCCCTTTTTATCCAGACTCATAAGTGCTTAAGGGAAATTTTCTAATATGTAAACATCGACTTAATACTTCATATTTCTGGTTTAAAAGGTTCACTGGATCCGGAATTTTCATAATTGCTAATTTTTCCTGTTGGCAGGGGTTGTATATATTGTTGTGGTTGAAAGATTTTGATTTTTTTTTAAATTTTCCGCCTTACAATCGAATCCCTGTTGTTTATTTTCTTTTAAATTCCACACATGGTTAGCTAGTTTGGTATAATGCCTACGATTTGCTACCTTAAATGACGACCTATGATTGTAGCATATATTTGAATTAAAAGAAAGTGTACATTTAACCTCCCACCGATAGATTTACAGTACCCTCATTTTTCTTCTCTTCACGCTTCTTCTTCCTCCTCTTCTTCCTTCTTCACATCCTCCTTCCTTTCTATGACACTCAACATCGTGTGTTTGTTTGTTTATTTTTTTAAATAACAATGTAGCGTCCATTAGTTTTTTTAACAAATAAAGCGTTAAGAGGTCATTTGAATAAAATCAAAAGAGGAGAAATAAGGTTGAAACCAAATAATTAGAGAGATTCAATAGGAACTCCTGACTTTTCAATTTTTCTCTAGATGTTATTTTTACTTGTATTTTTTTTTACATCCGTGTATTGGGCACTCTTTAATACTACTGTTTCCTGGTCTGATTCAACACTTTGATGCCATCATATCATATATATATATATATATATATATATATATATATATATATATATATATATATATTCTTGGAGGTACAGAACCGTAATATTGCAAGGAATAGATACAAATTTGTGTTCCTAAAGGCATTATGAAAAATAAAAAATAAGAGATGAAAACCTTTACAGAACAGACCAACCGGTTTCGTTCCCAAGCTCATCAGGGTCGACTGGGACACAATTTAACAATTATTTCAATATATATTGACTCACCCGGACGGGTCTTGTATGCTGTCCATCTGTGCTATATTTCACTCAACTAAGGATTCATTTTGCCGACTCGTTCTGCCTTTTTTCCTCTATGCGTAAAGATCCTCTTCCTCCCCATCTGTTTCTTCCAAATACTTTATTCTTTTAAATGTGGTTTGCGGTTCCCAACGTTTAGATTTGTAAAATCAGGATCAGCATGTTCCATTGCGAGTTCTAATCCGGATGCCCGTAAGAGCCAGTTGGTTAATACTTCCGCGTAGCTGATCACTAAACATTTGATAAAGTGCAAGGGATTTTACTGAGGATTTCAATCTCAGGAATTGGTTTACTGTACCAGTCCAGTTCGCACTTCCATTTCATTTGCGGGCACTTATGGATAATATATTCGGTCCGGAGCCGTCTCTTTGCAATTAAAGAGACTGTCTCCTTCACGGTTTCAGAGAAATATTACACCTAGTGTCTATCATAAACTATTTTCACCCCACCCATTTTTTCCTTTTTTTTGCTGTGCAAATTCGCGCGGTTTGAATTTTTTCCTCATACCATTAATCATTTCATTTTTAATGTTTTAATTGTATGTAGGTATATGAGTCAATATATATTGCCAAATTTGTTAAATTGTTTAGTCGACCCTGATAGTTTGGGAACAAACCTGTTGGTCTGTTCTTGTTATCATCTCTTATTTTTATTTTTCATAATGCCTTTAGGAAATAATTTGTGTCTATTATTTGCAATAAATATATATATATATATATATATATATATATATATATATATATATATATTAGCTTAATACCCGTCTAAGTGGGATAATTGGCCCAAACTGGCTATATTTGCAGTAGAACCAATCCTTTGCGTTATAATGAAGGCATGAAATGTCTCGTTTGTTTTCTTTTTCTTTTTTTTTTTTTTTTTTTTTAGTGACATTTTTCACAAGCGTAGAGTTTTATTTCTAGCGACGCCGGACATGAACCTAAATAGATTCCATTTGTTTCTGGTAAACACAGAAATAATGTTTATGTCTGAAGCTTAATAATAAAACGGTAATTTTAATCTTCCCCGGAGTTATATTAATTGTTGTTAGAATAACAGAAGAATGAGACTTTACGCATGAAAACCCAAACAAATTGCGTTCAAACGTTCCCCTTGGGTTTAGTAATTATGAACACCAATTTTGTGTTCTGTAGATGAAAAGGTTTTTGACCTGAACAACGAACAAATAAAAGAAATTTCATATATATATATATATATATATATATATATATATATATATATATATATATATATATTATATATATATATATATATATATATATATATATAATTAATACAAGTAAAGTTTGTAACTTAGCTGATTTATATTACTTTTCTCATCTCGACTCCAGAGTTTCGTAGACGGATATATCCGTCCACTACTCAGGGATTATCAGCACATGCCTGCTTAGACTTCGTGATTTTTCTTCTTTATGCGCATATCATTGGTGTATTTTTTTAATAGTGTATGTGCGTGTGTGTCTTCCTTCGTGTGCGTTCGTCCATCTGTGTGGATGTACGTAAGTGTAAGGTGTTGTCATCATACATAGAGAAAGAGAATGTAGAAATCAATTATGCATTATGAATGATCTGATTATCATCTCAGGTGTTAAACTACCAGTTACCAAGCAATGTTGATTTCTCTTACACTTTATATACGCGCTATCCGAGATAGGCCACTCACTCCTCCGCAAATATAACATATTTTAAAGACATTTTTAAATATTGTATGTTCATTTTCTTGTGTTTTATGTGAATTTCCATGTATTTTAAAGAAAAAATAATGAAATGGATTTCGGTTGGCTTTTCTAGAGTGTTTCTTCTTTTAGACTGGTTATTTAGGCTACATAAGCCATTCTATTCTACTATTTAACCCAAGG